TTATGGCACCTTATTGGTAGGTTCTAGAGGCAGACCCATGATAATAATCTGCTAGACCTATGGTAATCTGCTAGACCTATGGTAATCTGATAGACCCATCCAGTGAGAGAAGGAAGCAGTGAAGGAGACGCCATTTGAATATTACTTGCATATTCTATCAAACACTTTATATCTCTCCTCCTTGCAAACATTCTTACTGCTGTAATCTCATATATGAATGTTTATATATACTTCTAACACATATATCAACATATAATATACCTGGTGAGCGGACTATGTACTGTAACTCACTGCAAAAAAAAAGTGTCTTTAGGTTTTTGTGCGAGACAATATGACACAATGGATGAAGGATTTTGACAACCCTACCGAGACAACAGGAGTCGTAGTGTTCATTGTGGAATTCATCGACCCCCCTCCGTGAAGATACTTTTTTGGGGAGTGTGGTTAATTTAAGTGTTAAGACAGCTAATGTCAACTGGAACAGCATTTCACGGTACCACCTAATACCAAGTAATTACAACACCTAATACAAAGCATTTACCAGTCTTCTTCACCTTACACCACCACCTAATACCAAACAATAACATAACTTCACCTTATATTAAATAATCCAATTACTTCAACACAATTCTAAGATATTTACGTATAAAAGACAAAATCAACTGAAGGTAAAAATCTAATTTCCTTTACGACTCAGAGGTAACACATGTGGAACCTCTCTTACCATAAACTGCTTACTTACATTAAATATGCTCTAAGTCTCCTATCTCTTCCCGGTAAGATCAAGTTAATGAGGTGGGGTTTTTTTTTTAGATCTGCTGGATATAACTTGGTGATTTCCCCAGTTGGTGATTTTTATGTAAAATTACGAACATCAGATCTAATGATAAATCCCATTTGTGTTATTCTCTGTGTCGGATGTAATTTGTTTGTTTTTGTTATCTGTGTGTTTGTTGAGTGGTAATGTTATTGAATGGTGTAATTTGTGGTTGTTTTTAATATTTGAGTTCATGTGATTAAACGACAAATCTATTAAGAGGTGTGTATACTAGATTCATGTTGGTAACCCTTACTTGTTATCAGTGGAAGTGTTGGTAATCCTTACTTGTTATTGTTCTTCACCTTAGTTATAAATAGCTCAGGCAGTTCTTGTTACATCTCATGAAATAAAGAACTATATTAATTTATCTCTTATCTGAAAATATATAATGACGAAGTAGATTTTTTGATGGTGGTATAGTTCGTGTTATCTTATTCTGGACGGTAACTGTGGGAGGTAAAACAAAGGTGGTGTTGGGTTCGTGGAGGTGTTGGATTCGTGTTGGTGGAGGTGTTGGATTCGTGTTGGTGGAGGTGTTGGGTTCGTGTAGGTGGAGGTGTTGGGTTCGTTATGGTGGAGGTGTTGGATTCGTGTTGGTGGAGGTGTTGGGTTCGTGTCGGTGTTTGAAGAGCTTGGTGAGGTGTTTGGTGAGACATATAAACGTAGATGAATGTTTATCGAGGGAAAAATTCAGGTTAATAAAATTACAGAAATAAAAATTATCGTAGAGTCAAACACATAAAGTTTATCATTAATTTTGAAAGTTTATATCAAAGTTTAATTTAAGTTTATTGTTTTTATATACATTTTAGAGAATACATAATAAAGTTTTAATTAATAGACAAGAGTTGCGTATAGAACAAAGAGGCTAACTAAAGGAGATCCAGAAATTCAGGGAAAAATAGTAAGCTAACATGACTCTGATATATGGAACCTCATATGATAAATTTATATAACAATCATTCTTATCCTGTTGTCTATATTCAAACTATAAAAATTCATATACATTTATAATCATCACCACTAGAAGACCTTAGGTTAATTAAACAGATCGTAATTTATTATATTTTTACTAAATACGTAATATTTCACTAAACTCATACCGGAAATAAGAAAAATATTCACGTTTTTTTTATATATATAGAAGGTCATTACGTAAACTCAGAGTGGTTGACTTACAGTATTAGCATAAAATAAAATAAAATTCGTTCTCATGGGCTGAAATATCTTGGGATGATGGTTCTTGAGGTAAAATAGTAGAGGAACTGAGAGAGCATGAGGGAGAGGCAGCGTGTGTGTATGTGTGTGTGGGTATATACCTTATACTGAATATATCACAGGTATTTTATATATAACAATAAACCTTTTTTTCTTATTTACTCTCCCTTGATGGATTGAAATTTAGTTAAGTTTAAATATAAGTTTAGCTGTTTTAAGTTCCTTTTACTCATTCTAG